GGGCCGGAGACCCACGGGCGGGTGCTTGGAGTAAGTGAGGAGGCGGCGGCGGCGCGGGCTGTCCCCAACCAAAAAGCACGCGGGTTCGCTTCAGCACGGCAGAAGGCACCCAACGCCAGGTGGGGCCGCTCCTCGCCCGAAGCCAGGCCCGCCCTCACAGGGGTGAGCAATCCTCAGCCCAGCGCGCTGGCCCGACGATTAATTATTCCGCTCGGTAAAATTGTGCCTGTTCGTCACGGCTTTAAGCTTGCAGCTACTATTTTGTCTTACTGCACCTGGCTGGAGTGTTCTACGCTCCAGTCTTTGCTTCATCAGCTATACCGTTACTTGTTTTTTTTAAAAACGTGCCTGCTAGGTAAGCTGTAGGAGTTGAGCCGAGTATCTCTTGCTTACAAAGGCATAACTTTCAGACTTGTCGTTCTTGCAGCTCGTTTCCATTTTTTTGTTGTTGTTGTTGTTGTTTGGTACAGATAGGATGGTTGTTACTAGTGGTCTCTCTACAGTGTTGGATTTCTCTCTGTTGTGATTTTTCATTTCCCCACTTTTTGACTGAAGGATTGTACTCTCCCCTGTGTTGCTGTGACAAGGCAACTCCTACGTCCCCAGGTGCCAGAAGCCTGCTAGGACTGCATAACCGGGTACTCCCTGCTTAGTGACTCCACTGACATGCAACATCTGCAAACTTCTGGTTTGCCATGAGTAACAGTTTCCCGTTTTCCTGACGAATTCCTGAGTGGTTTCCAAGGTGCACTACCTTAATTTGTAGTCACCATGGGACCTCCTCTGTGATCCTCTCTCATGAGCTTCCTACATACTTTGCAAAGATGAGCCTGTTACTGCTCCTTGGTACTAACACCTGCTTGGTAAGGCATTTGATGGCACTTTCACGCTGGCTGCAACAACAAAAACAACATGACTTGTTGCAAACAGTTTATTAGGTAGTAATAAATAAGAATTTAGCAGAAAGAACTATACAGCAATAAGGCATATTAATAGTATTGTTAAATATGCAACTGACACACATTTTAACATTTTTTCCTCTAGTTTTCTAACAAAGTGCTATGTAGAGAAGTGTATTTCTGATACCAGCGCCAAGTGACAGCAAGGATGCACTATGAAGGACCTGACTTGCATTATCTACCTTAAATAAAATATAATAACCCATGAAGATTTACTGTTACTTATGCCAGTGAAGTTTAACTAAAAAAAGTATAGCTTGCTAAGAAGATTAAAAAATATAAGTCTCCTGTTCACTTTTTTAACTGCTTACTACTTTAATTTCTTAAACTGCACTTACTATTAGTAAGGCATGAGTAAAGTTACTGTACAACAGCACAGTTCCTAACATTCATTTTAACTTTTATTTGAAAACTTAGAGGCAAGTGCTAATTTTTATTTTTTTATAAAAACTTTTTTACAAAATATTGCACACTGTTTTAGCATGCAGTTTTACACGGAAGAAATAGTCAAGTGCACTTAAAACCCTGAAATACAACCAGGTATTTTAAGGATTTATGTTATGGATACTATTTTTACATACAAGGACATGTTTCAGGCTGCATAGGGTCCCACCTTGTACTTTGGACCCAACTTGTTGAGACCCAATCCCGACTCTGCAAAGAGCAGGCCAAATGCTTACAAGCTGTATCTGACTTTCTTGCAATATAAATCTTCGTTCCTGGATCCTGCACTGCTTGCAGCCTCAAGAAACTGAAGTAATCAGTAGGAAAATTAGTTTAACAGAAATAACTTAGTACCTTGTATATGAGTTTTCATTACTGCATATATGTTGCAATCCAGGGTAAGGTTTATTAAACTTTCTGAAGTCCTCTGAGTAAGACTGATTTGTAAATCTGTATCTACCCCTCCTCCATATACACATTTAATATTGCACAGCAAAAGTAAAAATCCATTTTTTTAAAAAACAAGCATGCTAAACATTTAATATGGCTTCTGAATGATTTAAAGTATTTCCCTTTTGATATCCTCATGCAATATTTTAGAATAAATATGAATACAAAGTATGAGAAAGTTAAGAATAAAAAAAAGCTAGCTGTAACATTTGTCAGAAACCAAATAAAAAACAAGAGTTTATCAAAAGTAGTTGCTCAAAGGTCTAACTGCATACTTATCAACAGTATCTTAAAAATAAAGTGTGTCTACAAAATACCATAACATATACAACCTCCTTGATGTTCCACAGAATGGCATGAAAGGTAAATAGGTTAACTGAGACTTGCTTAATAGCACTGGTGGTCCCATAGTCCTCTGGGAACAAAAGCCTTACCTGATTCATACTCGTCCAACTCAGAAAACCATTTACATTTCATTAGCTTTATTGGTTAAGCTCAAGCCCTACAATAGCTTATACATAAAACACAAAAATATTTATAAAAATAATAGATAAGTTGTATAGTTTTTAAAAAAATAAACCATGCAGCTTCTGTACAAAGTTAAAAAACTGTACAAATTGACTTCTCTGTTGTGTAAAATTCATGTATATGGAAGTCTTCTGTTATGATGAGAAATAAGTTGGTTTTTGCTTAGCTGTCAGACGCTGTTTCATAGCTATTGTTCATTTCCATCATTCATTTCTTTCACTTGGCATTAACTGGCCATTTAATTTCATCAGAAGTTTCACAACGAGACCTGCCTATATAAAGGTATACAGTTAAATTCTATCAGCGTTTCGGAACTATGACGCATTCAAATATATGACAAATGCAAGTAGATAAAAATAAGTAAGAAGTTGCATCATTTTAGAAACAAGGAAAATAAAACCTAGATCTTCCTCAGCTATCAAAGCGTTTTTCAAAACATTCAGTCACTTCCCCTATAACCACCTTAATATATAAGAATCAAAAGCAACTACTGTCAAAGTATGCAAGATACTCAAAGCTGTAATTTTGTCACAACATATGTTAACATGGCATAGTACCACTGATGCAGACTATGGGTAAAACAAGCATTTTCCATCAGACATCCACAAACACTATCAAAAGTTGCTGGTAGCAATTGCAGTGAAGTTGCTTTATAATACTGCCTTCACAGATCCTCAGTTTTATCCAGTCTCAAGCTCTGCTAGTTTTGATAGCAAAATTACCAGCTCTAACTCTGTGATTCTCACTGTATTTGGAATTATCTTTGAGTCCGAGGGATTGGGCGCATGCAACAAACAGTTTCGATTAAAAAAAGAAAAAGTTTACCCTAATGATTACAGATGCATTTTATGTATTTTGAACCATAAAGGCTTCACATGCTAGGAAAACAAGCAAACATTCTGAAATCTTAAAAAGAAAGTTTTAAGATCATTTTGGCGGTGGCTTGGCTTGGGCTTCTTTTATACTGTACAAGGGTGATCAATTTCAAAAGAGAAAAGGCATGTATCTAGTTTAGGAAAAAACAGTTGAATATAAAGGATGAAAAATGACAATGCTTACCTGTTTGGTATGTACTATAAAGCTCATTTTGTTTTCCAGACTGTGGATTTGAAAACATGTATCTCCATCTCC